ATTTTCCGTTTTGTGGGCCACTTTGTGTCCCTTTTTTCTCCGGGCCCCGGGGGAGATTTTTGAGGGATTTATCCACTTTGTGAAACACAGTATTTTCTCGTTCTAGTGGAGAAAAGGCTTGAAAATTTTTTTTTCCCACAGATTCATTTTTTGGGGGGCACCTCTCTTGGGTGGGTTGAAGGGTAAACCCCAAAAATTCCTTTTTTTGCTCGGGCCCGGGGCCAAAAGAAGTCCTCCAAAAAGGGGGGGAAGGTTTTTTTTTTGGGTTCAAAAGTTTCTTTGGAATTTTTTAACAGAGGGTTGGTGGATTTTTTTCCAGGAGGAAACCATTGGGGGGGGGCCCATTTTTTTGGGGGGCAAACCGGAGGGGCCCCCAACCCCCCATTGGAACCATTGAGTTCGTGTTTGGAAGAAGTTCGCATTTTTTTGGGCCCCAAAACCGAACCATGGGGATTGAAGGTGAGGATTTGCCAAGGCCATTTCTCAAAAAAAAATAATTCTTTTTTGGTGGGTTTCAGACACTTCCCGAAACAAAATTCAAGAGGAATCTTGAAAGAGTTCCCGGGGCATCTCTGAATAACTTGAGAAAACGTCGCGAACTCACGTCAAACTTGAAATTGAAACGGTTATTATTGGAAAAAATGAAAGAGAAAAACCAAGCAGCAGCCAAGAAACAGGCAAAATTTGAGCGCGATTGTCATAAATCCTCACAAGAAATCATAAAACTTGGTTATTGGCAAACACACACTGACATTAAGACTGGGCTAGCAAAATGCGCAACGGAAAAAGATAAAAGAGAATCGATTCTAAGTCAACTTCGTTTCAGAAAACTCATCATTAAACAAGAGCCCCCATCCCCAAAAATTTTCGCAGCTTCGGCTAATTCAAAGCCCCTCCCTCTCACTCAGCTTATCGCCAACCTCCAGCTTCTCATGGAAAAAAGTATTGCTATCCGTCAACTTCTCCTGGTTCATCACCAGTTCATCGGAAAGAAGTTTATCGACTATCGTGCTACAAGAGCAAGGAAAGATTCATCGAAAAGAGGGACTGTTGTCGATATTCGCTTGTCCGGCTCGAAAAAAGTGATCACTCTTCAGTAGGGTTCCGCAAAAAGCAGAATCATGAAGCAAAGCTCACGTGAAGCCTCAATGAAGCAGCTTCATTTGAATCTTTACTGAATCGGCGTCATGCTTCACTCTGCTTCATTTTCAATTTCGATGACCCCGCGTCATTTTTCAAAAAGCTCATAATGTCAAAAAAGCTCATAATGCTTCATTTGAATCTTGAAAATTTACACTGTAAAGTGACGTTTCGAACAAAAATAGGGCAGAAAAATATGTTTTCCAAAAAAAAAACATTTTTTCAAAAAATGGAAATTAACGACGTGAGCTTTTTGAAGCACAACCAAAAGATTCACTTTTTGAAAATGAAGCACAATGAAGCATTCGAAAGCTTCAAAAGCTCATAATGCTTCATTTTCAAAATTTTCATGCGGAACCCTACTCTTCAGTACACAGATGAAAATGATCAGACCAAACTTGATTTTGTATATTTCACTGAATCTCTTGATTCGAAAAGCATTGTTTTTGTAGAAGATTAGCAGTTTCTTTTTTTTTCGTTCTTTTGTTGAGTTCCACTAACATTTTGCGCTTTTCCTCGATTTTTCCGACCAAAACCTCATCGCACATGAATATTCACGAATATTCTTGTCAGAACTGATGATAAATTACGAAATTTCAACCGAAAATTCTGTTATTTTTTGAAAATAATTTGTTCTTCATCTTTTTTCATGTTTTCTTCTTCAATTTTCCTTTTGCAGTCCCGTTCCGTTGAATATTCATGCGTTTTGAGGTCTTTTGATCTAAAAATCGATTAAAATTAGATTTTCAATAAATATGTTGGGTTTAAACTTATTGATTTACCGATCCGCCGAGGAAAATGGAGAAAAACTGAAGAAAATCGCTAAGAAAAACCAACAGAAAAAAATTCAAGGTTTTTCTGCGCCGCAACCTTGCAGCTGCCAAGCCCCGCCCATTTTTCCGCGCGCCCGCAATGAGAGTGTAGAAAAACAGTAAATTGAGGGGTGTAGAAGACGTGCTATAAATCGGGTTGGGATGAATATTTTTTCACAAAAATTTGGGAATGTATTTGTACGAAGACTGGGAACACTATAATATCAAATACTAAAGATAAAAATTTGTTTGAAAATTATGTTGTGGTCCCTAGCTAAAAGATGGAATTTCATATGACCAGATGTGCCGTTGAATTCTTCACAGTTTGGTCCAAAAATCAGGACGAAGTCTTCATTTTGAGAAGAGTTGTAGTCGAAATACTGGAAAATTTTATTCTGAGCAATTCCACAAGTTTGAGCATAACTCGGCTTAAAATCAATATTTTTGATTTCTGAAAACTGTACATAAGATCCACAAAAATGTAAAAGTTTATTCCAAAAAATTCAAAATCACTGTTTATGAAGCCTGGCTTTGGCTTTATACGGATACGGATTCCTATACACATTTCCACGATTCGGGCACTGACAATAGCCAGCGTCGGGACCCGGTCCTCCAGGTAGTCCCGGCTCTCCCGGTACTCCATCATGTCCCTGCATCCCAGGATATCCAGGTTTCCCTTCAGGACCTGCTGGTCCTGGAAGACCAATTCTTCCAGGTTTCCCACTGAGTCCAGGTTGTCCCTCCTTGCCGGGGAATCCAATTCTGCCCATTCTTCCCGGCATTCCTCTTCCTTTCTTTCCATCTCTTCCCGGTAATCCTGGCTTCCCATCCTCTCCAGGTCTCCCTGGGGTTCCAGCATTTCCAGGCTCCCCTGGTCTTCCTGGCTTGCCATCCGATCCTCGATACCCTGGGTTCCCGGGTTTCCCGTCTGGTCCTGGAAGCCCAGGGGCACCGTCTCTTCCTGGATAGCCTGGGAGCCCGGCAGGACATCTGATGCAGTCTCTCTCGGGTAACGGGCAGTGAATCGGTTCATAGATTTGGGTGTTATCGGCTCCTGGAGCTCCACGCGATCCTGGAGTGCCGGGGGAGCCAGGGTTGCCCGGTGCGCCTGAAAAAGTTATTCTTCAAAGTCGCACAACCTCTTAAAACAGCAGGGTAACTATCCTATCCGAAAAATATGGATTTTAAGAAAAAGAAAAAAAGATTTGACCACAAGGGGGGTTGAACCCGGGTTGCGAAATTGGAAGTGAAAAGCGCTAACCGCAAGGTCACCGGCGAGGGAGAGGGGGTGGGAGGCAATTGGCAAGAGAGACGGAGGGCGCGCAGCGTTCGAAAAAAAAAGGGGACTGTGGCCTAGTGGCTAGTGCCTTTGCTATTGAATCTGACATCCCGGGTTCGATCCCCCTCGGGGTCAATTATTTTTTCTTTTCTTTTTTGTCTTTCTCCAATACTAACCTGGCGGTCCTGGCGGACAAACCGGTTTCGTCGGCTCACACTGACACCACGCGGGAAGTGCTCCATAAGTGTGCCTCTTCTTTTTCAAATGACTCTCAAATGGATTCCGTGGGGCTCTGGAGGGTGGGGCGACCGAGGACTGCACATCCATCATGTCGTGCCACGCAGGATCCGTTTCGAATTGGAACACTTTGATCGACTCGTTGACCTGGGGAATGGGGGCTTTGAAAATTGTATTCGAATTTTCGAAATTGGCTCGGTGGCCTAACTTTCTCAAATTTTTTGGTTTTCTAGGCCACTATGCCACGATCATTTTCCATTTTTCAGAACTCAAAAAGATTGATTTCGAGCCGAGTTATTCTGAATTTTGTGGAATTGCTCAGAATAAGAATTTCCAGTATTTTGGCTGTAACTCGGTTTAAGATCAATATTTCTAGCTGGTTTTTGGACCATTTTGTAGAGAATTTTAAGACACATCTAGTAATATAAAATTCACTGTACCGCATGAAAATGAGTTGGTGGCCTAGGTTTCTCAAAATTTGGTTTTCTAGGCCACCATGCCGAAATTGGGTGGATTCTGTTCCAAATGACTTCGTGATCGTTTTCCACTTTTCAGAACTCAAAAAAATTGATGTTGAGCCGAGTTACGCCAGGTTTTGTGTAATTGCTCAGAATAAAAATTTTCAGTACTTTGGCTGTAACTCGGCTCAAAGTGAAGATTTCTAGCTGGTTTTTGGACTAAAATTTCAGGTAATCGGAAGACGCATATACACTAACCTGAATCTCAATCTGATTCATCTCCTGAAAAAGTCCATGAAGTACCACCAGGCAGCTAACAATTGCAGTCAACGAGCATGCAGTGGAGACAGCAGCGACCGCTTTCACCTCCAACATCTTCTTAGTCAAGGTTTCCTAATTTCATACCTTATATACCCCCATCATTATAACTGGTTCCTCATTGCAAAATGCATTAAGTAAATTGCCGTGCGGAACCGAACGAAACTTCTTTGTCCTTGTCTCCTCCTTACTTAAAACCATAAAATCCAATTTGTGGAAGGAAGGGAAGTGTCAAATGGGATATTCTTCAAATTTTTTTCTTTGAAGCAAGTCTTTTTGTCGGTGGCAGAAGTGGACCACATTTGAATTGATGGGGTGGGGAGTGGGGGAGCCCCCAATAACGGGGTCACCAAAACAAAGGGGAAGATTTATTGGTGGTTAGGAGAGAATCAAATGATAGCGGCTCGGAACAGAAAGACTATGGAATACAAAACTGACAATTACCCGTCGGAGGCGCAGCACTACTCTTGAAATACAGTGAAAATCGGAAAAATAACATGTTCCGACAGTACTGGCTTGGTGGCCTAACTTTCTCAAAATTTGGTTTTCTAGGCCACTCTTGGGGTTTCTGTTCAAAATGACTTTTTGAGCATTTCAACGTTTTCAGAATACAAAAATATTGATTTTCAGCCAAGTTATGCTGAATTTCGTGAAATTGCTCAGAATAAAATTTTCCGGAATTTCAGTTATAACTCGGCTGAAAATGAAGGTTTCGGCCTGGTTTTTTGACCAACTTGCATAAAATTTGAAGGTGCATCTGATCGTATAAAATTCATCATTTAGCGTGAAAATGGGTTGGTGGCCTAACTTTTCCGAAATTCGGTTTTCTAGGCCACAATACTAAATTTGTGTGGATTCTATTTCAAATGATTTCTAAGTCATTTTACATTTTTCAGAACTTGAAAATATTGAATTTCAGCCGAGTTACGCTAAATTTCGAAAAATTGCTCAGAATAAAAATTTGCAGTATTTCGACTATAACTCGGCTCAAAATGAAGATTTCGGCCTGGTTTTTGGTTCAAATTGCATAAAATGCAAAGACGCATCTGATCATATAAATTTCAAAAAAAAATTTTGGTGGCCTAACTTTCTCAAAACTTGGTTTTCTAGGCCCCTGGGTGTTTTTTTGTTCCAAATGACTTCCCATAAATTGATAAATTATTTTTATTTCCCGGGGGTGCCCTACCATCCCTCTCCGTCCTTCCTATCTATTACCGATCTACCTCCTCCCCCTCATCTCCTTCTATCTTCTCCCCTGTCCTCTTTGAATCGCGTGTGGTACCAAACAAAGCCGCCAGTCTAACCTAATCTTTCTCTAGCACCCTCTCACTTTTCCACACTATTTCGTGACGGGTGGCACGCGCCAAATTTGAAATTCAACGGGGGAAGATGAGTGACAGTGATGAGGGAAGGGGAGGCACTCTACGGGAGATCTGTGTGTGTTTCTGTTTCTATTTCTACAGTTCATTTCATTTTCCTCATTTTCTCTCTTTTTTGCTTGATGATGAGGTTTTTCGTTTTCGCACCCCACCACCACATACCTTAGCATACCATCTTCATTGTGACCTCGTTTTTGCACCCAATTTGATCATAATGGGTAAACTAACGGGATGAAAACAGGGCTACTGTAGGTTTTTGAATTTGAAATTTGCATAATGTTTACTGTATATACGCTTTGAGTTAGTCAAGGATAGCTGAATACGAATTTTCGAAGTTTTCCCTGAATTTCTGAATTTTCGGATTCCCGCCATGATTTTCGAATTTTTGAATTCCCACCAAAATTTTCGAATTGGAATTACTGTAGGTAGTAGTACGGGCCAAAGAAGCTGTATTTTTGGAAAATCTCAAGATCTGAAAATTCAAATTGATATATCAAAAAATCCTCTATCGTTTGGTATCAATATCATCTAGGGTTGTATCTAAAAAAAAGTAGATCAAAATCCGAAAAAAATTAATTAGCAGTTCCAAATTTTCAACACTAACTTTCAGTTTTCCTCGTTTTTGACCTATACTGTCTGAAACAATTCTATATAAAATTTATACCAATTGATAGAGAATTTTTTGATCTACCGATCGGTACAAATATTATATAGGATTGATGGTCAAAAATCGGAAAAAATTAAAAAAAAAACTGAAATTTAGCGATCTACAATGTTCAGATTCTCTCCGAATTTTGAATTCTGAGGACCAAAAAAAACTCTCTATCTTATCTTCCTCGTCAAGCAATAGCGCCTTCAAGTCGTCCGTAACACACATGTGTTACTAATTTCCCAATTTCAAAGGGATTGAGCTCAAGAATACACGAATCAGCCGGCCAAGCTGACCCTGTTGTGGATCAAACCCACCAAAGCTATTGATCCTGGAAATTTCTGAGAAATTGTTGTTTTGAATAGATGTGTTGACTCAATCTTTCTGAAAATTGATGCATTAATCGACCATAAAAATGGAGGTTTTTTCCTTATTTCCGATTTTCATTTCGATTTCATAACCGAAAGAAAGTGCAGAAGAAGGGGGCTTGTGCCAGATGTTCCTCCCTCATAGTGACATCATCATTCATTGCTTACCTACTCACCAAGGCTTTATTGGTTGATCATTCTTTTCTAGAGACCTAAACCTAAACTAGACACCATCATGTCTGACTGTTCCTACTGTACCTGTACCTTTGATTCCAAAGCTTGCGATCATGTTTCTCCTAACTGTTCCACAAGCTGAGCTTCTAGGTCAACACTAACTTCCAAATCACTTTTGACTTTCCAGAACTCGAAAATATTGATTTTGAGCTGAGTTATACTCAAATTTGTAGAATTGCTCAGAAAAAAATTTTCCAGTTTTTCGACTATAACTCGGCTAAAAATGAAGATTTCAGCCTGGTTGGACCAAAATGTAGGAAATTTCGAAACGCATTTTGCCATACAATAAGCAGGATTCGCAAAAAATGTCCTGGGTGGCCTAGCTTTGGTGTCCTAGGCCTCCATCCGAATTTCCTACTGTAACTCTCCCCCTCTACCCATTTCACTAACCTTAAGTTCAAAATTAGTCATCTAAGATTTGTTGTACTTCCTCCTCCCCCCACTATTTCAACAAAACTGCTTCGTTGCCCATTGCATCTCCGGGCCCTTCGTCGGTTTTTATTCAGAGAGAGAGAGAGAGAGACGCGCCCCGAAAATGCCAGATGTGCGGTTCTTCGGGGGGTGATGGAGAAGGGGACGAATAGGTGTCTGCCGTCTATTCCGATCATGTTGAATTTCTTAGAGTGGAGACGGTTGAAATTTTAGGGGAAGGAAGAGAGAGAGAGAGGGAGATGTGAAAAGAAGAAGCAACAGAAGAAAGGATGGATGGGAGCATTGATTTGCTCTGTCCTTGAGAATGGTTAGGGATTATTTTCTATTGAGGGTGCCCTTAGAAGTTTTTAAGACCTGAAGTTCAGAGTCGAGGTACCCTTATTTCATCTAGCTTCAACGTTTAGGCTTCTAGACGCCCTATGACCCCTCGGGGCACTGTAATTCACAAATTATTTTTTGTTGAGGCTTACAGAGCTGCATATCTGTAGAAACTAGGGCCTGAGCAGCTCCAATTTTCCTTCATTTCCCTCTGAATCATCATCGGATGCTATCAGCTATTTTCAGTTTTTATTTTATTTTTGGAGCAGGTTTTCTAGAACAACCTGCTATGATATTTATACCAATCGACAGAGAATGTTGGTCAAAAATCGGGAAAAATGAAAAAAAATACTTTTTTCCACAAAACTTTAGTTTGTCGAGTTTTTCGCATGTATTTTCTGAAACGACTCTATATGATATTTATACCAATCAATAGAGAATTTTTCGATCTACCGATTGGTATAAACATCATATAGAGTTGTTGGTCAAAAATCGGGAAAATGAAAAAAAAAACAACCTTTTTCCACAAAACTTTAGTTTTTTTGAGTTTTTGGCATGCATTTTCTGATACAATCCTACATGACATCTACACCAATCGAGAATTTTTTTGATCTACCGATTGGTACAAATATCATGAAGGGTTGTATCAGAAAGTTCATTTAGTACTGAAAACTCGATTTTCCTCGTTTTTCAATTTTTTCGCCTAATTTTTTCGGTTAACAACCATATATAAGATTGATAT